TTTTTTATTATTATTATTTTTAATAGTAGAAAGTAAAATTAGTATATTGAGTAATGTATTTTCTTTTCAGTTTGTGAAAAACTGTTTACTGCTCGACGATTGACACGTGATTCAACTTTAACAGGAAGCTTTCAAGAAATAAATCCAAAACCGATCGTGTTCTTTGAAATATAGTCTTTTTACAATTGGCGATAGTGTTTTCTATTCAATAACAAAAGGAATTCATTATAGTGATTTAAGCATTAAAAAAAATGGAGATGTAAGATAATCAGAGAATAGTTAAATTTCAGTATTTTTTTCCCCCTTCAACCAAACATTTTCTAGAGAAGAATCATCGTTCATCTTAGTTTTCTAGAATATATTATTAATGTGGCTGTCGATGTATTGATTCTTCGTCCGAAATTTCTCTTCTCTACTAATTTCAACTTAGATAATTAAGCACAAATGGATAATAACTCCTCTCTACTCATTACCTGAATTTTTTTTTTTAATTCAGAGATTATATCCACTCTCATTAACACGTAGCATTTCCGTCAAAATAAAGTTTAAAATTATTTTTATCTGTTAAAAAAATATTACTATTATTTAAATACGTGCATAACTTAGTAATAGATTAAGAGATAATCCATTTTGAATAAAATAATGACTAAGTTTGACTTAAGTGAGTCATGTATAAGTCATAGAAATTGAATAAGTATTTAAGAGTATGACAAGTTCAAAACTAATTACACGTAAATTTCAGTAGACTCACGTCTCACATCTGCACACAGTTTGGGGGGGTCCTACGACGAATTGACGTCAATTGTACCATTTATAGATGACACGTTTTCGTACAGATGGTACTAATTGACAAGCTATGCTTAATTGATTCTAACAGTAAACATGTAAACAAAAGAATACGAGTTTAGTCACATGTTTTCCCACTTAAAACTACTCAGAATATAACAATAGTAGATTTTAACATAACATTAATAGCTAAAGTTGTGTATTGAATGTTGAGAAACACATTGTGTCATAATTCATAAATTATGGGTTTTTTTTTTTTTGAAATACTTCCTTGTCTTGAGTAATAAATTATTTCTTATAATTATACATTATGGAGATTATTTTCGAAAATATTTATATTATAGGATCTATTCGAATTTAGAAACTTTTAAAATTAAAAAAATGCTTATTAATAATTTTAGGTTGGTTGATAAAAGGAATAAATTTTATACCAAACACGTGATAAGACGAAACAATCCTCCAGAAAATGAAGAACGGGAAGAAAAAAAAAAGTAATTTCACGAAATTCTGTCATTTTACTTCTTGAAAATAGCCTATTTTGTCATTTGTTGTATGACTCAAATACAGCTTTTTCTTTTTTTTTTTTTTTATCTTCGTTTAAGAAACAATTTTTTATCCTTAAGGACAATTTTCTACAATAAATTTATGGCAGCTGTTCTCTTACACGATTTTATTGCTCGTCTGTTATTTATTTTTCCTTTTTTTCTTATTTTCTTAAAGAACGAATTATCGACATTTAAATAGATCTTTCTTAATCCCTATAATTTTCTCCTATAAATTTATCAGCGGATTAATGGATAATCCTTTTTTAATCTAATATTTGTTAACTTCTAATAACATTTAATTTATGCACGAATCTCAGCTTTAAAAATAGGAAATCTTAGACGAAAATATGAAAAAAAAGGTAATATTGGATATCTTTTTTACTTTCTAGAGATTAATAACGAGTTATATAAAAAAAAAAAAATACTTACGGGGAGACATACAATATGCGAATGGTTATTACCATCTAAAATTTCATGCACTTCTCGGAACACACTTCATATGTTAAACCTCCTCCCTTTCCATTCCAAATGAAGAGGGAAGCTAAGCTGGAGAACCTTGCAACACGTGTGGACAGAAGTGTTGGTTGCAGGACGCTGATTGGCTGTTTGACAGAATGAAAACCTAAATAGTCCTTAAACTACTCTGCACACAAAATGAATCGTCGATATAATTGTAATTGTGTACTTTCTATTTAAAGCATCACCCTAAATAAAACACATATCGAAAGGAATGACAGGAAAATTATCCACACTAAAATTTACATAACACAGTCTGTTTTTTTCAAACCTAGCCAATCTGTTTTTCACGCTTATATGCCAAATGAAATGAGGGGAGTGAAAGTAAAAAAAAAAAAAGAGGATGCAGGAAAAAAAAGGAGGATATTGCCACAAAGTCCTGTTTAGCACCTGTTTATTATAGGAGAAGAAAGTAGTGAGAGAGACATTCTATAATGAATACGGCACGTATGGCCAAGCAATCTAATTAATCATCGCGCACACCACGCGTAACGTACGCCAGATGGTTTTGTAGCTTTTTTTTTTTTTTTCGTCGCTATGTAAAATTTTAAATGTTAAAACTCATCAATTATCCGGTCATTCTCGCTGCCGAATCAAAAGTGATGGGCATTTATTCAAGAACATATGAAATATATGTTTTTTCGATTCGTTGGACAGACCGTTTGCACGTGTGACGTTTTAACAAAGAGATTTTGTGTTCTTCTTCCCCCGTTTGACCTTCTCTTCTATGTTGCCCCTTGTCCAACAACGAAAAACCGTTAGAAAAGACAGCAATCCCCAGGGTGCGAGGGGAACTGTCTGACTGATAGAAACCAACGCAAACGTTTCTTTTACCCGAAACCGCATACGTTTTTAAATTTTCCCAAACTGGACTTTACTGTTAATAAGAGAAAAGGGTAGTAATGAGCCATTCTTTTTTACAAACTTTACAACTATCTAACTAGGTGGTCTTAAGTAATACGAATGTAACTATTAAAAGCTCCATACAACAGGATCGGAACTTTCTAATGCACTAAAACAGATGGAAGAAGGTACACAGATAGTCTGTTAGTAAACAATAGGTCACAGTAGCCCGCAGGTGGGGTGTAAGATTATTATTGGCAGCTGTCTGTTAACAGATGTGTCCCTGAATTTAAAAAAAAAAAAAAATTAAATAATTTCAGGTCATTGTCGTAACGGAACTAAAGGAAGAAAATAATAAATAAGCCTAGATATTTAGCGAAAGTGTTATAAAACTGGACAAGTTAGCTGGCCTTGCCACAAACTCGACAATAGGGAATGATTCACTCCACTTCAATCAGATCATCCTTTCATCCCCGCAGTGACTCATCCTCCGTTCCCCAACTGGTAAACAACCTAATATATATTAAAAAAAAGCATCTTAATTAAAAATCCTGCTGCTTTGCCTTATTATGAAATAATTCGCTAATTGTAGATAGAAGACAAGTAAAAGCAAATGCATTTCTTTTCACCGCAAAAGTAAATGGGAAGCTTTTAAAAATTTTATGCGCCAAATTAATTATGTAAAAAAAAAAAAAGAAAAACAGAATCATTCGTAGAATTTAAAAGATGAGTTATAATTAAAAAAATAAAAAAAATATTACTTAAATTTTTGGAATTAGAAAACCGCTTAAAAACTTAAGCTTCAATTTCTCTAGAGATTAATTAATAGAAAAAAATATATATATATATTTCTTTCTTTTGTTTTTTAATTAAGCTAGAGCTAATTATTTTTAATTACTATAAACTCGTTCATTAGAGAATTTGCAGCTTCTTTTTTTTTTTCTTAGTCTTTATCCGATTTTCTTTCCAAACAAAATATTAATCTAAAAATCTGTGAATATGCTAAACATTTATGCCTTATGTTTATATAATTTTAATTCCGGAATATTTTTATTTGAATAAATTCGACATAAACTTATTCTAAGAACTTCAAGAATTATAATTAAAAAAATAAATAAATAAAGGTAAAAAATGAAATTTTTATTTAATAGAGAAATATTTCTGAAATAAAAATACAAATTCCTACAACTAAATTTCGAACAGAGCACAACATATTGATTTATAACCTACAGGGAAAAGTAATAATAATAATAATAAATGGATGAAGTGAATAATTACCATTTATATATAAGTTTAAAAGAATAATAAATATCTATAATTTGTATATAGTAAGACAGATTATTTAAACTTAGAATATTTTGTTTTTGACTGTATTAAGTAATTATCTAATCTTCTTTAATAATACTTAAGAATATTCAATGCTATACATGAATATTTGTTTTAAAAAGAATAGAAAGAAATTCAGCTTAAAAATAATAGAAAAAATAGTAAGAAAAAAGTTTTTAGAAAGCACGAAATGCTATTCTTTAACTATACATTCAGTCCATTGTAAAAACAGGCAAACTTCAAACACAAGTGTACTTTAGTTTTTTATGCGCCTAGAAACGAAAGTTGAGCATTCCCAATTGTTAAAAAAATCCTATTTAAATATTAAAAATCTACTTAAAAAAATAACCGAATATAAAAATGTATTAAATATTGATGGGACAAGAAGGAATAAAAGATGTAAATACTGTACAGTGTACAGTACGTTTAATTATTATTATTGTTTCTAAGAAAATTATAAAATTTATCTAAATCTATCATCTTTTGGAAAGTTTCATGCTATTAAAATAAAATGAAGGTCTTACGAAAAGAAAAATTTGATTAATTTCGCTTGAAAATTTTATTATTTTGAGGAGTTCTTTAAAGAAAGTCGCTAGTTCGATCTAGAATTTAGAAAAGTACACGAGGATATTTTAATTTAATTCACAGTGTACGTTTAATTATTATTATTGTTTCTAAGAAAATTATAAAATTTATCTAAATCTATCATCTTTTGGAAAGTTTCATGCTATTAAAATAAAATGAAGGTCTTACAAAAAGAAAAATTTGATTAATTTCGCTTGAAAATTTTATTATTTTGAGGAGTTCTTTAAAGAAAGTCGCTAGTTCGATCTAGAATTTAGAAAAGTACACGAGGATATTTTAATTTAATTCAATGTATTCGATTAATTATTAATAAGGAAAAAACTTTCGCATATATAAGGTTAATAATTAATGGGAGAAAGCCTTCAGATATTAAGTTCTTGGTGTGATATTTTTCTAAAAGAAGCATGGACGGGGTACTTAATATCCAGTGGTGTAACTGCGGTTAAACGATGCTTAAAACCCACAATAAGGAGGCCCAGACTAAATCCTACAAATACGAGAAGTTTTAAGAAAAATAATATATATGTTACAGTCAAAACCCGTTTTTAGTTAGAACGCGTTTTAACTAGTTGAAACTAGTTTATACTAAATGTCTTTGTTAAAACCCGTTTTGTCTAGTTGAAACTAGTTTATACTGAATGTCTTTGTTAAAACCCGTTTTGTCTAGTTAAAACTAGTTTTAACTCAAATTCATTTTTGACTACAGTAAATTCTAGTTTTAACTAGACAAAACCGGTTTTGTCTAGTTAATTTACTGCTGTACATGTTTTGACTTTAGATAAAACTAGTTTTAACTTTTAACATTAGTTAAAACTAATTTTAGCTACATAAATATGTTTGGGGGAAATAAAGTTGTGTGTAGTGATTCGGCGGAAGATGCCTAACATTTTGCTTATGAAGAAAATTACAGCGCTAATTTGAGTTTAGGAGCCCTCTAATGAAAATATCATATTCTGGAGTATGTCTTTCAAATAAAAGTTTGGAGTTTATTTTAAAAAATTCTATACTGTGTTTGCAATGACGACTTTTTCACTGTCTGGCATTTTAAGCATCTCACCCCAAGTATCTGGGTGAGATGCCAAATGCCATTAGGGTAAGATAACAAATATAATTGCTTAAAATTAATTTTTGAATTTCTTAACCAAATTTAATTTATTGCATATGTAGTACAAAGTACTTCATAGTAAGTATAACAGCACAGTATAAGTATTGTTAAGTTTCCGCCCGTTCTAACGTGTTCTATAGCTAGCTGAAAGCTTTTTTCAGTCCAAAAACTTTTTTGAGAAGTCCTTATATAATTTCTATGCATATCCTGCAATAAAACGAGAAAACAAAAGTTTATTAAAAATAGGCATATTGGAAATCAATTAACAAAAAATAGGCACGTTACCCCAAGAAAAATGTGGCATATTTTCCATTTGTTGGGGTAAGATGCCTAGTAGAGTCACGTGCTCCAGCATGTCCGATCGGGATCGGCGGTAGCTGACAATGGAAACTTTAGAACCTTAACTACATCACACATTAATTGTTTTTAGCAATTTTTAATAAATTCCATTTTAACTTTTAGTTTAAAATTATTCTAGAAACATTTCACAACAAAAACTTCGTTCTTATCTAGCTTTTATTCTTCTCGGATGTAGAAAATGAAGTAACGGTAGCCAACTACAGCTTTCCGCACTCAATATTGGCCCAACGATTCATCATACAAATACATGACAATATGTGACGTCACCGTTTGAAAATATCAAAAATTAGGCATCTTCCCCCGCTTACCATCTTACCCCGAATCACTCTATGCGTTGCAGTCAAACCAGTTTTTAGTTAGGATGCGTTTTAACTAGTTAAAACTAGTTTATACTGGATGTCTTTGTTAAAACCCGTTTTGTCTAGTTAAAACTAGAATTTACTGCTAGTCAAAAATGAATTTGAGTTAAAACTAGTTTTAACTAGACAAAACGGGTTTTAACAAAGACATTTAGTATAAACTAGTTTCAACTAGACAAAACGGGTTTTAACAAAGACATTCAGTATAAACTAGTTTCAACTAGTTAAAACGCGTTCTAACTAAAAACGGGTTTTGACTGTAACATATATATATATATATAAAATGTTCCTCCATTTTTGTTCGATTAAATTTGTTTATAACAAAATATACCTACTTTAATTTAAGGACATGTTACAACAAGTAGTAGTAGTGCACAAAAATTTCATGTAACAAGTCCTTAAATATAGTAAGATTCTCGGGAAAATTTTTTAGAATACTTAAAA